AGCAAGATATTTTTATTTTCTTTTTTTTGGTTTTCCCAGACAAGGTTTCTCTGTGTAGCTTTACGCCTTTCCTGGAACTCACTCTGTAGACCAGGCTGGCCTCGAACTCACAGAGATCCACCTGGCTCTGCCTCCCAAGTGCTGGGATTAAAGGCGTGGGCCACCACTGCCCAGCAAGATATTTTTCAGTTACCCCACAGAAATACCCTGGTCTTGTCACATAAAAGTCGGCTGTGATAGCTGGAATCCCAGCACATATCTTGGCTTATCGGATAAACCAGGAAGAGAAGGGTGGCTTAGAAATAGCAACTGTGCAGTCATAATGAGACTACAGTGCCATCCCTGCACTATCTAGTCAAGACTTTTACATGAGCAGTAAATATCTGCAATTGTTTAAGGCACTGCAATCAGGTCTGAACGTGCGGCAAAAAGGAATTCCTCATATTTAGGCCTCATATATGACTTTTTCAAATATGTACATTGATTAAGATAAATTAAAAGGTAATGCCAATTAATAGCAAGAATTAATAATAAAAATAGTGAATTACACACCCTCAGAAATCTTTCATAAAAGTGTAAATATTGTGTAAATTTTGCACCAAGTCCAACATATCAAGGCTGTTTTCTAAGACAATTTGAATTTCCTTGAAAAGACATTAAATATTTATTTTGTAAAAAATAAAATAAAATAATGAGGCAAACTCCTTTTCTGTTAAGACCCATCTCTTTAGATGTCTTGCATAGAGCACAATTGCTGTTAAACTTACTAAAGAAGTATTAGTACCTTTTGCTAAGAACAACCCAAATGGAAAGCCGGCTTGTTACAAAGTCAAACTTAAAGGTAGAGCAGGCTTTCTCCCCTAGGGACCGACCACCTGCATGTTAGACCAGGTTTACTGTCGGGCGCTGGAGGAGGCTGGGCAGTATTTCCAGCCCCCATCCACTAGTTGCCTGTCAGGACAATCCATTCTGAGACTGCCAAATGCCCCTTGCAGGAAACAAAATTCCTGAAAACCCACCAGAAAGAAAATGTAATTGCTTTGCAAATCACTGTGCCTTATTCATCAGGAGCGTCTAGCTATGACAATATTTACAAACACTAAAATTTAAAGATGGTAACATTCAAAAATATTCTCTGAAGTTCATTATGAAATAAAAGCTATCAACTCCAAAGATAGGATTATCTCTAATGCCCCTCTTAAACTGGCAGGGGATTTTGCATCACAGAAATATTAATAGCTTCTGTCTCTTTACTCCTACCCATGTGCTAGGTAGGAACATGAGAGCTTTATGTTCATTATGTCCATTCCCTCATTTTATACGCCTGTCGTCTTCCTTAGGTGCTGTTAAGCCCACTGTAGTACAAAATAATTTTACAGTCTACTTGAACCTCTCAGATCCAGCTATGTGTCTCATTATAATCATTCTGCTACTAAAACCAAGAATGAAGTATTTTAACTTGTTTACCTGACAATATATGACCAAAGTCAAATTATTGTAGGTTTTAGGAACTGAGTGAATGTTTCCTACACTTAACAAGTCAAGAGAGATAAAATGATGTTTCTTGAAATAAGTTTTACTACTATGGTATACTAAAGCATCCCTTTTAAACTTTTCTTTTAAACTTTAGGTGTTTTTTTTTTTTTCTTTTGGTTTGGTTTGGTTGGTTTGTTTGTTTTTTGAGACAGTCTGTCTACATAGTCCTGGCTGTCCTGGAACTCACTATGTAGCCCAGGCTGGCCTCTAACTCACAGAGCTCCATCTGCCTCTGCCTCCTGAGTGCAGGAATTAAAGGCGTGGGCCACTTCACCACACCTGGCTCTTTGAAACTTTGTATCTGTGCTTCCTTGAGTCCTTTCAGGATTTTTGCCCCCTGCCGATTACTAACTTTTCACCACTCTATCCCATCCACACCACACAATTCAAAGTATGTGTTTGATTATTTGCCTTGCAGTAGATATTGAAGTGGCATTCAAATCCTTGCTTGCCCTTCCTTTGGAATCTAAGAAAAGTGAACTTGTTTAGGCTTCAAATTCTGCTTTGTAACTCAATATCTGAAGGTGAAGAGTTACTAGGCTCTTAGTAAAAGCTGCCTTCCCTTCCCGCTCCTATCAAAGCAAATAAGTATGAGTTAGTACCCATTCTACTGGAGCATTACTTGTGCAGATAACTTAACATAGGCCAAGGGAGGAGGTAATTAGTGGCAATTAGTCCAGGGAGTCTTTTGTTTTACTTTCTCTTAAAAGAATTGTTCCATTCCTTTCTCCCATAACCCTAGCAGCTACTGCCAAGAAATTTTGATTCATATTTCCCTCCAAAAAGTAGATAAGTTGTGGATTTTCTTCTCAATATCACTAAGCTGTATACATAATTCATATATTTAGCTTACTGTCAGACAGTAGATAAGAGTAAATTATCTATTTTAAGAATTACTCATGATTAGGTAATTTGCTAATCAATGAAAGTTATTTATTATCACTATTAGTAAATAATAGAATCTTAATTGTTTAAAAGAATTGATCTTTAAGAATGCAGTTATATAGGCCACTGTTTTCCTTACTGGAAAATCAAACAATAAATATACTCCTATTTTATTAAGTAATAGATAAAATGTCATTCATTAAGTGATTCTTTCATTCCATTTAAAATATGTAAAAATAATATATATATGAATATAAAGATCACTTGGGAAATAAAACCAGAACAGAAATTCAAAAACAGCTCTATTAGTGATCTCCAAAATAGGTAATCAATTTTCAGAAAAAAATTGGTAATCTGAAGGTATGTCAATATAACACTCATAATTTAGTTGTATAAAAGTTCACTGCGTTTTTCCTGTTCAGTTTTAGTCTTGGTTACTCATAAGTTAGAATTTCAAAGAACAGTCAACTTCATCTGTTCTTAAAACATTTTAAAGTCAACTGTCAGAATCTGATTTTGTTTCGTTTATTGACTCAGGGTCTCACAATGTAGCCCAGGCAACCCTTGAACTTGTGCGCCTGGTGTCCCTCCCTCAGGAGTAGTCACAGTTTTTCAGAAGCTAGATTTGCTCATTTGTTCTTAAAAAATTTACTTCAAGAAGAAATTTAAGGGTAGGTAAAAGTTCTCCAAAAAATGCTCTGGCACTCAAAATTTTCAGCAATGCAGAGTCATTGAGCAAGTAAATTAACACTACCAAGCTGCGGGTAGACTGATGGGAGATCTAGCCTTGGTTTCAATGCCCAGTGTACACACACACACACACACACACACACACACACACACACACACACACACGGGGTGGGGGTGGGGGTGGGGGGCAGAAACAGAGAGAAAGAGAAAAGTTGTTCTTTCAAAAAGTAAAAAAAGAAAGGTGCGATACCATTTGTCTCAGAATATATTTAAAATATCAAATGCATGCTAATTTGGCTGTTTGAAGTTCCTAAGTACATAGTCTACAAACATAACGGTTGCTGAATATTAAACACGTAGTTAGAAGACAAATGCTCTAAAAATCAAGACAGTGAACTTCAGTGAACAACTGTCAAGATGAAAACATTTTTTCAAGAAAGTCACTAAATAGAGAAAATAAAAATGTTAAAGATATACACTGTGCACACCCAGACTGTTTCGACCTTCAAACCAATTTACCTATGACATTGGCAAAAACTTGCCAAAAGAAAATTTAAATCCAACCATTAGTAACTTATCCAAAAATATCAACTTTATCCTTTTTTTTCCCCCTTAAATGCTTGGCAGGACACAAAATGAAATGTCAACCAATTTAATGCCCACTCATTGTTCGCTTAATTTCGCACCTGTGACCTGAGTGAAATTAACGGCTAGCTGATGCAAACCATTCATGTATTTACCCAGCTAGCAACTATCCCAATTGACAAAAGAGGAAACTAAGGCACAGAGGTTAAGTAACTTGTACAGGTAAACAGTTAAGAAATGGTAGCGCAAGCCGTGAACAATAAGAAACATTTTTTTTAAAGGCAGTATGAAAAAGTACCTTTTTTTAAGCGAGAGTTGCGAATGCGAAAAAAAAAAAGACGTGTATTACAGATGAATGCGGATGAGAATGCAGATTTTACAAACTATTCCTAAACATGTAGGTTGTCCCTATATTTGCTCACAACTGTATACAAAACTACATTCAATCCTAAAAGCAGTCCGCAGACTAAAGGAAATAATTTACTGTCACTTTTCCGATACTGAATGTAACAGACTAACCAAAAAACGTGTAACTTAAAGGATGGGGGAGGGGCGGTGTAACCAGGGCAATAGTTTCAGGAAAACGACTTTCTCTGTGTGCAGTTAATTAGGAAACTGTGTTTGTCAGAGAAGTGGGGGTCAAAAAAGGGAAAGATGACAATCACTCCACCAACGTCCCACACCCCAAACACCCCCCCCCCAACACCCGGGGGAGGGGGAAAAGTAGCTAACGGTGGGTCAGTGCCAAAGCCAACTGAAGAACCGGCCCAGAGGGACCTAGTGAGGGAATGACAGGCGACCCTAGCAGAGGGGGAGGGGTGGGGATGACAGGAGGGCAGGTAGTGGGGTGATAGCATGCGTGGTGTCTCCCAAAACGAGAATGCCGGGGACGGGGGTCTTAAGAGAAAGGCAGGGGAGCTCGGCAGAAGTGAGAGGAACCGGGCAGGCAACGTAGAAAGGCGGGACCCTCGGGCACGAAGGGGGTCTGCGTGAGGCAGGGACATGTCAGGACGCGGTGCTTTCCAGCTGACCGTCCTGCTCCCGGTCCCCCCCCCCCCACCGCCACGACAAACTCACTTTCTCCTCACCCCGAAGTCCGCAACTCACCCCCCAAACCTGCTCCCCGTCCCCCTCGCCGAGCCGGAGAGGTCCAGAGAGGGAACCGGGGGCTTCCCGGACTCCGCTCCCCGTCCGGCTGGAGGATCAGTCCCGGACACAGCCCAGATCCCTGGGCCACAAGGCCAGGAGCCGCGCAGAGGCCCAGGAGCCGGGTGACAAGTCGGGGCGGCCGACGGGCGCCTCACCTGACAGAAGCGTCGGCAGTAATCCCGGCTGCTGATCCCGACGCCGCCGCCACAGCCGCTAACGCCGGCGGCCCCTCTGCCGTCGCCCGCAGCTCTGAGCCCCACAGGGCCCGGGGGGGACTCCACAATGGCCACGAGCTCTTCTCCGAGGCGTTCGGCCTCTTGATCGCTCTCTTCCTCCGCCATGAGGCTCTCGCCGCCCAGCGCGTACCCAGCCCCTGCGCCGCCGCCGCCGCCGCCGCCGCCGCCGCCGCTGCCTGGGTTAACCTCCTCCTCCTCCTCTAGTTCCCTCCTCCTTTCCCTCCGCCCCAGCCGGACAGGGGCCACTCGGCTGGGCTCTACTTCCGGCTCCGCCCACCCACGCCCCCAGTTTTCACTGGAGGAGGACGCCGCCAATCATGAGCACGCCCGCCCTCCATTCCCATTGGTTAGGCCAGCCGTCTGTCGGGCAGCCCCGCCGTCTGTTGGCCGAGGCCGCTCGGCGGTTGCTGAGGACCGCCTACGAGCTCTGCCATAGGGCGCGCCCGAGGACGGGGCGCGGCGGGGGACACGGCGGCCGCGGCGGGGTTCGCTCGGGCGGCGGCGGCGGCGGCGGCGGCGGCGGCGGCGGCGGCAGCGGCGGCGGCGGCCGCAACGGGACCTCCTTCATCCCGTTGCTCTCTGCCTTCCCTTCCTCCTCTTCTCGTTCCCCGCCGAGGGCTCGTGCACTTCCCGTAACGGCGGCCCGATCCTACGGTCCCGAAGAGCTGGGAAGACGGAAGGTGGGCTTGGCCGTTGGTGCGGGCGGCGGGCCGGGGCCTTGGGCCCCGTGAGCGGGAGCCGGGGGCGGGGCCGGCGGCCGGAGGAGGAGGAGGGGGAGGAGGAGGAGGGAGGAGGAGACGGGCGACCTGACAGCGACGGCCTCGGCCCCCTCCCCAGGGACAGCCACCGAGTCGGCGGCCGACTTGTCGGGCCCTCGCCGGGCAGCTGGGACGCGGCCCCGGGCCCGCAGGCGGGGTCTCGGCGCCGGGGCGCCACCTCGGCCGGCGCGGCGGGAGGAGACTGTCTAGACGTCGGGCGGCCCGCGCCCGCCTTCCCCGCCCCCACCGGAGCCTCGGGCCTGCGGAGCGCGCGGCCCGCGGGGACACCCGCCCCGGGGCCACACGGCCCGGAGCTGCCTTGAGGTCTGGGCCCCTCCACCCCCCGCCCCGGATCGCGCACGGGAAGGGCTGCAGCACCCGGGTCGTGCGTGCCCTAAGACGCTCGGCGGCGGGCCCGCGGTCGACCTTTCCCGCCCCTCCACCATCTTCCCTCTCTGTTTGTTTTTGTGTTTTACAGTAAAGGCATGACTGCCCGGCGCCGCAGGGAAAATAGGGTGCAAGCCCAGAAACTCTTTCCCCACCACCACCTGTTGAAAAACTGATTCGAAGGCGTCTCCGGGTCTGAACAAACGGAAAGTTGCTAGGATTGGATGCGGCTCTCGTTTTGCACCGGAAAACCCTCACTGCTTAATATCAAGGAACAAGAAAAAACTGGAAATTAAGCCGGTACACATTTCGACTTGAAAACTTCTGAGTTTAGTTTTGCTTTAGAAAAGTACTGCTTCGCTTTTGTTAGCTAGTTCTTGCACTTAACTTCTCTACTTCCTCATTTGTTTAAAATGTTTCTGACTTTTGAAAATACTTGTAACTGAGATCGTCACCCCTCTATGGGGTGGATATTTGCATCGGCAATATCCGGAACAAACTTTTCAAGTTAAAAGATCAGAAAAGTTCAGACCTCACATTAGTACAAGAATTACAGATTCATTATTTCTAAGATTGCAGTCCAAGTACTAATATACTTCCATGGCAAAAAAAATCTAAGGGGAACCCAAAGCAAGAATTCAGGATTTTTCATAACTGTCTTATAACCATTCATTGTTACTAGAACAGGTTGGTTTTTTAGGTATAGAATACATTTAGAAATTGCAAATATTTGCACTGATACTCACTGAGTATTTTAGGCAGAATTCATTGACATGTCTTTTCTGCCATGGAAAATCTCTACCCTAACACAGTATCTGACAAGACTTGTATCAAAGATGCAATGGGGCAGAAATCCACAAAAATTAAGCCTATTAAATTCTAGACTTTTTTGTGCCTTACAGAATTTTTTTTTTTTTCCCCAAGACAGAATTTCTTTGTCTAGTTTTGGTGCTTGTCCTGGACCTCGCTCTGTAGACCAGACTGGCCTCCAACTCACAGAGATTTGCCTGACTCTGCCTCCTGAGTGTGCTGGGATTAAAGGCATATGCCACCACCGCCTGGCTCAGAATTTTCATGACTTGCTAAGTCCTCTAATTTGGGTCCATAGATTTTTGCTAACATACTGAAAAAAAAAAAAAATGAAAGAATGTTGATGTTGCCCAGCAAGTAAACTAATACAGTGGGATCCTCCGTGATTTGTAATTATACTTATCAAAACTAATTCTTGCTGGGGGTGTTGATTGAACCATGAGTTCAATCCCTGCAACCACTGGGTGGAAAGGGAGATCCAACTCCCTCCAGTTGTCCTCTGAACTCCACACACGTGCTGGTACAGAGGCTCACACACACACATTCATACATACATATATGTAACTGTAAGAAGTAAAAAGCAGCCAAGTATGGTGGTACATACCTGTAATCCCAACTACTCAGGACACTGAGGCAGGAGGATTTCACATTGAAAACCAGGCTGGACAACAGGTTTTTTGGTTTTTAAAGTTTGTTATTTGGCTAAAGTGAGTTATTAAGCTGCTTCTAAATTACGTATTTGGATAAATGGTTACTTGGGGATTTTTGTTAATTTGATTTTGGCTTTTTTTGTGTTTTATTTTGGTTTGGGTTTTTTTGCATTGCTGGGGTCAAATCCAGGACTTGGCTCATACGAGGCAATTGCTCTGCCACTGATTTGTACACCCAGCCATTCCTACTCTTTCAAACATCAAGTTTTGATCGACACTCTGTCACATATTAGTCACTATGCTAAGAGAAATTAAGATTATTCTTCAGTGGAAATGAAACCAAGTGTTAAAGAACATACTGGCTTCTCTTGATTATCTCCCTTTAAAAGAACTTAGAGAAAAACGTGTATTAAAAATAACATGGGTTGGGAATTTAGCTCAGTGGTAGAGCACTTGCCTAGCAAGCCCAAAGCCCTGGTTCGATCCTCAGCTCAAAAAACTTATTTTTTCCAGGCCTGGTGTCATACACTTATAATCTCCAGCACTCAGGAGGCAAAGATGGGTCGATCTCTATGTCTACAGAATGAGGCCCTGCCCTTTTTTTTTTGAAAAAGTGTTTCTCTTTGTAACCTTGGCTGTCCTGGAACTCTGTATCTGTAGACTAGGCTGGGCTAGAACTCAGAGATCAGCCTGCCTCTGCCTCCACAGTGCTGGGACTAACGGTGTGCACCACCACCACCACCACACCAGGCAGTGAGACCCTTCCTTAAATAAATAAATACTTATTTTCAATTATACATAAGCCTCAACTCTTAATGTCATTGTACATGTTTACACTTGTTTATATTCTTTGTTTTTCTCTTAAAACAAGTTTTGCTGTCAGGTTTGTGCACAGCTGAGTTCTCAAAATCAGTTTCCCACAAACACTTTACCTTGAACATATCTGACTTGGGCTATTCATCAGTGCTATTAATACTCTGAATGGCCAGGGGGCGGTAGCACACGCCTTTAAACCCAGCACTCGGGATCCAGAGCTGAGTGGATCTTGAGTTCAAGTTCGAGGCCAGCCTAGTCTACAGAGCGAGATCCAGGACAGGCACCAAAACTACACAGAGAAACCCTGTCTCGAAAAACCAAAAAAAATAAAAATAAAAAATACTCTGAATGTTTACTGTGATTGGGATTTCCTAAAAAATAGAAATATCTAGAATAATTTGAGTTATTCATAAATCTAATTTATTTGTCTTAAAAGTCAAGGTATTGGGAAGTTGGCTTAGGTGTACTGCTTCCTGTGCAGGTATGTGGACCTGAGTTCAGATCCCCAGCATCCATGTAAAAGCTGGTCTCAGCAGTCTGTAATCCCAGTTCTAGGTGCAGTTAGAGAAGCTATTCAAAAAAACGAAGGTGTACCCATGGACATATACCACATACACACAAATGTCAAGGAATGGACATTTGTTGTTTGCTGCTAATTTGGTTTAGTTTTGCTTTCCTTGAGTATTTCAGATAAGATTTAAAAGACCTACAACCTACCAAATTGAATTAAGCATTTGGGGGATATTGAAGATCATTGAATTAAGTTTGGGGTTTGCGGGGGAGGAGGAGGGATTGGTTTTCCTTTAAATCTTTACTCTTCAAAAAGCACTTATAACCCTTCCTTTTATTGTTAAACACTTCTAGAATGAACTATCTTCATGATACTTACATCTTTCTCTTGTCGTAGAAGAACCTTACTCAGTCAAAATGGAACGGTTTGTAGTAACAGCCCCACCTGCCCGAAATCGTTCTAAGACTGCTTTGTATGTGACCCCTCTGGATCGAGTCACTGAATTTGGAGGTGAGCTTCATGAAGATGGAGGAAAACTCTTCTGCACTTCTTGCAATGTGGTTCTGAATCATGTTCGCAAGTCTGCCATCAGTGACCACCTCAAGTCAAAGACTCACACCAAGAGGAAGGCAGAATTTGAAGAGCAGAATGTGAGAAAGAAGCAGAGGCCCCTGACTGCATCTCTCCAGTGCAACAGTACTGCGCAGACAGAGAAAGTCAGTGTTATCCAGGACTTTGTGAAGATGTGCCTGGAAGCCAACATCCCCCTGGAGAAGGCTGATCATCCAGCAGTCCGAGCGTTCCTGTCTCGACATGTGAAGAACGGAGGATCCATACCTAAGTCAGACCAGCTGAGGAGAGCCTATCTGCCCGATGGATATGAGAATGAAAATCAGCTCCTCAACTCACAAGATTGTTGACAAGGCAGTTCTGACCATTGTGATCAAGATAAATAATGTGGAGTATTAAAGTTAATGTGTTGATTGTGTGGTTCATTTTTATATTTATTTCATTAAAATCATGTGATACAGAATAGTTTTGCAATGTGTATATAGTTGCAGGCAAAAGAAAAAAAAAACCTCACTGCAAAACGTATTGCTAATTTTAGTCACCGATGGTATAAAGCAAAACGTAGCTATAGAGTGTATTAGGATATCTGAAACTTGGTGGTTATCTTTAAACCTGATGGCTTTTCTCCTGAAATGTTTGTGCATGGAAGAACTGCCCTGCGCTGTAGCCGTGTTGCCATATATGATTATTTCTTGTGA